CTACTGTATTTGAAAGTGATATTCCTTCTTTTATCTTTCTGCAAAGCAATACAAATATGGTCACCCCAAAAATATATAGATAAAATAAAATGAATTGCAAAGTAAACATAAACATCACAGTATATTATTTCAGAGACAACAGCTAGAAATATTGTACAGACTCACTCCACAGTATAGGCCCAGGTTCACATATATGCGGTGCGGTACATCGCATGTGATTCGCACAGGAACCGCACCGCATTCCTGTGCAAATCACATGCGATTTGTGTGCAGTACGATTGGAGCCATACATTTTGTATGGCTCTAATCGCACCGTACCCGCACCAAAAAGATGCAGGACTCTTTTTTGGTCCGCACTAGAATCAGATTGCATGGGTATTCACACCTATGCGATCCGATTCTGCACATTGCACCACGTTTTGTGGACTGATTTCGGGGTGTTGTTAACTTAACATACACTAGTTAAAGATAATTATTAAGAGGTCGTACAATAAATTACCGTATCACCCAGTAAATGGTCTCCATTCAGTAGCCAAAAAAGGCATGCAAAAAAAGAGGGGTTGTGAAAAGAAATTCACAAAGAAAGCGGCTACATTATGAACAGAATGTGATACTCAGAAAAATTTCCAAAAATTATGCTTTATTAGACATACAAATTTGACATATGGGCAATCACCCTGGTTTACCATCACCTCAGTATGAGACAATACACAGACCTAAAACCATATAAAATGACACCAGGACCGGTCTAAATGCACGTGCAACAAGGACAATGACTACATGAGTCTAAAGTCCCTGTAGCACAGGCGCATAGGTGGACACTTCCCAAAGGAGGTGTATACAAAAATTATACCATAGGTATACCATAACACGTGTTATAAATGTGTAGACTAAGCTACTACCAGAATGAATGGTTATATCCCAAACAGGGAATTTCAAAAAATTATACCATAGATATAAACATCACATGTATGCAATGCAGCAAGCACAGTATGCGTCAAAAAGAAGGCATGCCTCTAGGCCTATATGAGACAAAACATGAATGTCATGTAAATGATGCAACACAAGTGGTTGGGGCCCATTCATCTGTGATTATTACCAGCTGTTTCCTAGGGCTCTTGAATAAAGATATGCCCCATTTTTTACCAGGATGGAAGGATAGATGCATAAAGCAGCGCACTGCTTGAAATGGTTTCTTCACCACTGCATGTGGACTAGATACCACTTTCTGTGAGAAAATCGAGACACATCCCAATAGATCTTCTGCCTGTTGAAATACATGTGGTATATCTTGTTTCTCATACAAAGCACCATGATGTCCCCATCCTGTAGTAAAACAAACAATATGTGGAAAGTCACTGAAAGAGCTTTCACTCTGTATGGGATATATAGGTCATATATGTCACATAGGACCATATATCTTGTGTCCTGCAACAGTCCACTCACCACCTGTGCAATGGATAATAGGAGAGGAAAGAATATCCTTCATAGGTGCTGCCATACAAGGCTGGGGAGGCCAAGGAACCACCGCTGACATTCGCCGATATACCGCGGGTTCCAGCCTCTTCTCGGCGCCTGTGCTGCCTAGGCTTGCCTCATGGCATGTGAAAATGGCTTCCTCCTTGTGGGTCAGTGTGTGTTCCACCTAATGCGCATGACCGGAAGTGACGTATCTGACGTATGACGTATATGATGAAGTGTCCACCTATGCGCCTGTGCTACAGGGACTTTAGACTCATGTAGTCATTGTCCTTGTTGCACATGCATTTAGACCGGTACTGGTGTCATTTTATATGGTTTTAGGTCTGTGTGTATTGTCTCATACTGAGGTGATGGTAAACCAGGGCGATTGCCCATATGTCAAATTTGTATGTCTAATAAAGCATAATTTTTGGAAATTTTTCTGAGTATCACATTCTGTTCATAATGTAGCCGCTTTCTTTGTGAATTTCTTTTCACAACCCCTCTTTTTTTGCATAACTTAACATACACACCTCCATCAGTTCGTATTAACGGGGTGCAATTCTGATGAGGTGCAAAATTCACACAGAATACACTGCGAATTCCAGACCATGATTCTGATGAGGTGTGACATTCACACAGAATACACTGCAAATTCCGGACCGCATCAGTGTGAACCCAGGCTAAGTGATCAAATATCAATCTGCGTAGTTTTCTAACTAACACCAAAATAGTGTTTTCACAACACCTCTCCAATAGAAAATGACATCAAAAATATTGCAGTGCAACCCTCAAAATAATTTGTACAAAATAACACCAATTAAATCAAACCATATCACATAATATACCACATCGGATGATACATCCGATAATCATAAATCCCTCATAGTGAAATAGTGTAATGTCCAGCAAAAATATCTCAAATACTCAAATCCATTGAGTAAAAAATCCAAAATCATCAAAATATAAAAGTGTCTTATCTAACATAAGAGATCAAAACACTTTTACTCGACAGGTTATGAACTATGCTCCACAACTGTGCTCCATTCCAGTATACATAGCATAGTTTGTAGACATTGTAACCTTCACACAAACTAAATATTATACAATTTGTCAGCCAATGTTGTGCTAAACCCATGCTTGCCTAATTAATCAATCAAATTAAATAAAAATGAGAAAGTAAAAAATCCTGACTGCAGAGCTCATTGGTATTAAGATAAATATTGAAAGACAACAGAAAAAATAGTGTTGCGGTGTCAGGAAAACTAATTCAGTATATAGTGTATAAAAAAATCGAATAAAAAATAAAGTCATATAAATTAAATATCTCTTTGGACGAAACATGCTTAGGGCAGAGTTTAGCAGTGATGTCATCTTGCCTGTCTGGAGAGTGGGCGATGCTGTGCGATATGCTTGTCATACTATCTGTGAGTACCCACTTGGTTTATTAATACATGTTTTTAAATGGTACTTCACTATGGGATTTCCTTGCTCTTCCCTTGGAATGTGAGACCGGTTAATGAGATATATGAGAAGCAATCCAGTGACTATTGTTGGGGCATGCCATTCATGAGAAAGAGGCTTGAGGCTTGAGAGGAAGAGAGCTGGATCCATCCATCCATCTGTGCAGGATTTGTCACATTTTAAATGCTGATTTAATCCTCTGGAGTTGTGGGGTATGGTGCACAGCTGCTGCAAGATTTTGCACACTTTTGGTGGACTTTGATATTTCATTTATAGGACTTTATTTTTTTGTTATACACTATATCTTGAATTAGAAATTTTCCTGACAGTGCAACACTATTTTTTTTCAATTAATATACACTTATAAGGATTTTATTTTACCAAAGACATATAGCAGAATACATTTTGGCCTAAATTTATAAAAAACATTTGCTTTTTAACTGTTTTAATTGGATTTATTTTATAACAGAAAGAAGAACAGAAAGAAAATATAGTTTTTTTCCAAAATTCCGTTTTTTTTTTTGTTTATATAATAAAAATAAAAAAAACCCAGTCTTGATCAAATACCACCAAAAGAAAGCTCTATTTGTGTAAAAGAATGATAAAAATTTCATTTGGGCACAGTGTTGCATGACCGAGCAATTCCCAGTGCCGAATAGCAAAAAAAATGGTCTGGTCATGAAGGGGGTAAAACCTTCTGGAGCTCAAGTAGTTAAACCTGCTCTCACCCCGATTTTAAGTCCTATACTAAGCAAGCTTTAAAGGAAAGATGTGTATACTTACCAATCTAAGAGCATTTCGGTTCTGCCACTTGATTGTCTTCTAGCACCAGCTTCAGGGGAGAGGAGGGACAGTGGACAACAGATGCCCCACAGTATGTCACCATCCAGGCTGTGCAGCCATTGTTGGTGCTCTCTCCTCTCCCCTGAAGCTGGCCTCCTGGGACATCAAATATTAAAATATATAAGACAATATTAGAAAAAACTATTTCTGGCTATCATGCAAAGGACAACTACTGTGCCTGGCCTTCACTGTTTCTCCCTTTTAAAATAGTGTTTATCTGACTGCACAACAACAGGTCCAAGCAGCAGACCAATTTTATGATGATGTGCACTTACAGCACAAATACTGCCTAGCTGGACAAATAGTGGTGGATCATTTTCTTCAACTGAATCTTCATGCATTATATAAATCTTATATAAGAAGCATTAAACGATTACCTGGTTTGGCTGTGATTGAATGCTTGTTAATTAACCATACAACAGCTTTAAATATAGATAGATATGGAATATGAGTGTAGAAAAATGTAGCTAACTACACATAATACAAGTAAAGAACTACTCCTGTAGGAATCTCTTCTCAGATGTCACCTATGGATTCACTTTTAGTCATCTCACCCTTACAAAGACATAAAAGATTTGTTGAGGAATCAACTACAGGTAACTAAATTAATAAAAGGGACGGGGATGGGAAATCTAAAATATAATTAAATGTTAGAAATATTGGGCTTTTTTGCCTTGGAACAGACACCTTAGAGATGATCTAATGTCTAAATTTAAATTCTGACTGTGGTTTTCCATTAAAGTGGTTTTAAAGGCTCAAGGTTTTTTGCCTTCATGTATTTTATGTGTATGGCAGGCTCTCCCTGCTCGTTTGCTCGCTGAGACAGAAGTTGGAGGCTTTGGCTCCTGCTGCTTTCAATCACTATCAATGAGGAGATAAAGGGGGTGGGGCCGAGCTGCAGCTCTGGGTGTAATTGGACATGCAGAGCAGTGGCTTGGGAGCCCCCATAGCAAGCTGCTTGCTTCTGGGGCACTCAACAGGAGGGAGGAGCTAGAAGCGCCAATGGGGGACCTGAGAAGAGGATGATCGGCGCTGCTCTGTGCAAAACCACTGCACAGAGCAGGAAGTACGACATTTGTTATTTTTTTTTTTTAAATTGCCTTTAACCATCTCTCACCCACCTTATAAGGCAATGACAGGTGCAAGTGCATATGACGTCCTTCAACTCTAACCGCTCCGTTGACAGCTCGTGAGGTGAGGAGAGCCGGTAATCAGCATTCCTCAGAGGGGACATATACACTGATCATCAGGGCACTGATGATCAGTGTGCCCCGATGATCAATGTAGCCCCAGAAATGCCATCTGTAGTGTCCATCAATGCCACCTGCCAGTGCCCATCAGTGCCACATCAATGCCACACATCAGTGCCTACCAGTGCACATCAATGCCACATATCAGTGCCTATCTGAGTTGCCTTTCAGTGTCACCTTTCAGTGCTGCCAATCAGTGCCACCTATCAGTGACAGTCAGTGCCACTTATCAGTGCCAGTCAGTGCTGCCTATCAGTGCGCATTAGTGCTGCCTATCAGTGCTGCCTAACAGTGCCAGTCAGTGCCACCTATCAGTGCCGCCTATCAGTGCCATATATGAGTGCTACCTTTCAGTGCCCATCAGTGATGCCTGCCCGTGCCCATCAGTGCCACCTACCAGTGCCTCCTCATCAGTGCCCACCTATCAGTGCCACCTATCAGTGCAGCCTCATTAGCACACATCAGGGAAGGCTTAAATCACTTTATTTACAACATTTTATAACAAAAACTAAGAAAAAAAACTTTTTTTTTCCCCAAAATTTTCAGTTGATTTTGGTTTGTTTAGCAAAAAATAAAAAAACCCAGAGGTGATTAAACACCACCAAAAGAAAGCTCTATCGCTCTCAAAAAAATGATAAAAATTTCATATGGGTACAGTGTTGCATGACAGCGCAATTGTGATTCAAAGTGTGACAGAAAGCTGAAAATTGGCCTGGGCAGGAAGGGGGTATAAGGGCCCTGAAGGCAAGTGGTTAATATCACTTCAAGGCAATTTGTCTTTTTTACCTGTGCTGCATTGAATTGCAATTAACAGCAGCAAATTAGTTAACATATAAAAAAAATAAAAGCAAAAACAAAAAATGCCATAAAATCATAGTAGTAAAACTTTATACCTTGTAATCATTTGATAGAAGCAGGAAGACACTAGTATACAGGAAAGTGTAAGATAACTGGTAAAATTTTAGTTGACCCTTTTCAGTAGTGATAAGTTAACCAAGCAAAGTTTTTGGTTTGTTGGACCTTCAATTGACACTTAAGAAAAATTCAAAAACCCCCAACATATAGCTTGAACCCCACTGAAGTCTATGTTACCCGAATGTTTTAATTTTTTTTCTTGCCTTTTTCAAGGTCAATTTTTAATCGTTTGGTGAGAGAGGGGATGGGTAACTGAGCAATGCCATGGTGGATATGTACAAAGTCAAAATTATTTAATTTTAAAGATATCATTCAGTAAGTTTCTAATTTAAAATTTAAAATACACAATACCTTCAGCAAATGTGACCTTTAAAAAAAACTATTGCCTTTAAATGACTCCACTCCCTGGCCTGCTGCTTCTTGTAAACATACTGTATCTTGTCAATGAGAGCAGCCAACATCCTTAGCCAGTTTGTTGACATTTAGCAGCTGACAATTTGTTGACATTCAGCAGCAACAGTCCATTCGGAGAGGATCATCAATAAGGGTCATTGTGTTTGTATTGAGGAGTCATCAGGGTGTTGTTCATCAGGGATAAGGACAGATCCAAAGTGATGAGCAATTCAAATAAAGTTGGATTTATATCATGTGAAAAACATTTCCAGCAGTGTGTGTTTCATTCACTTTTATTTACTCTATACTCATTCAACTGAGGGTGACCCCATAGGAATGGGGTCCATAGGAAAGTCGGGATGAGGTCCTTGTCCCCATCAACATGGGAGCAAACTTTCTTTCCAGGGGGCTCTTACTGGCAAGTTAGTATCCCCATGTTAAGGGAATGTGGTCAGCTATGGTTGAAGAGGGAAGGGTGCATGCTGAATAAGGGTAGATCCATGGTGAATCACAATGAATGATGACCTGTTGACACAAACATGGTGACCCACAACAATGATCCTCTCTCTCCGGGCTCCCTAACTGCAAATGACAGCTTCTCAGCTGGCTTTTGAATGTCAAAAAACCATCTAGGGATGCTGGCTGTCAATATCTCATTTGGTCAAGGTTGTCAACAGGGTTTGCAATGTGAAACAAGCTGACAAGAGGCTGTGAAAATAATACCACCACTAAATGAATGAATTCTAGCTACAGCAGCCAGAGGTCTGGTGGGCTAGTGAACTGGCCAGATTTGACCATTTATTGCGGCCACTCAGTGAACTATGAGCAGCTCCAGTTTGGCTTGAATTTAACTCAGTCAGACTTAAAAAAAAATATCACAGTTATTTAGTCCATAATATTTAAGTGCTAGAAGTGGTACAGATGACCACTTGTCTCCAAAAACGCTTATATTAAAAATGCACTTGGTCTCCCATCTGGATATAACATACTGATCGAATGAGTACATCTAGAGTCCTTCAGGAAATTCAATACACTAGAATTTCAAACCTACTACAAACAGCGGTTATGTTTTTCTTTAAAGTTAATTAAAGTAAACTGTACATGCCAATAATTCTTGCTATGATAACAATGTTCATTCAACCTTGTTTTCAATTTTCTACATGTGGTCCCAGCTTACTGAATGGCACAAGGGCACTCCAGCATGTATGCTACGTTTCTCATGTCACATGTAATCATATTCCTAATTTGAAAGGCGTTTCACTTACTGCTGAGGTGAAATGTTCTATTTTTTGCACATTAACCTCAATGGCTTTACAAGCTGTATACATTTCACAAGGATCTAAACCATTTGCGCTTTTATTTACTTTACCTTGTTTATTCCACTTAATATAACCTTTAGCTTGCTAAGCTTGTTTGTATCAATCTTCCCCAAGCTAGATCATTTAACAGTGCATGACAGTATGTGTTTTTACTTCTAATCAATGACTTTTGATCTGTGGTACATTGCATCCTCATCAAAGAACAGTGTCCTGTATTAAACAGGGATTTCCTTTGAGGACATTTCATCATTATCCATACTATATCTAAACATAAAACATTTTATTGGACTCAGTGACGCTAAAACATCCTTAAAAAAAGAAAAACAAGAGAGCTGCTAGCTCCTATATAGGCACCTACAGTATATACATGCAGCAGCTATTATTTACATATGCTGCAGCCAAAATCTAAGCTGTTCCAGATAAGCCATGCTCTGACACTTCCAGGTGTCAGAGCTTGTGACTTCCCCCACATTCCTTTTGGCCTATCACTATGATGGACTGTACCATTGTCCAGTAGTAAGGAGTACAGCCTGAGCTTTACATATTCAAAACAGGCTGGCATTTGACCATAGCCAAAGGAAACAAGATATGTTGTAAGAATATTCAGGCATGCATTAAATACCTTTTGGTAGGTCTATTTTTTGACAGAGTGACTTTAATCAATTTAACTATCACAAAGAAATGTGAGATATTTTTTATACCCGAAAAATGTATATAATTTCCTATTATCTTGCAAAACCATAACTGGCTTACATTTGGTGAAACACCTCAAATTGCCATCACCACTGCTGTTGCTATTAACAGAACTTGTGTGTTTAGATTAAGATAGAGAATAGGATAACGAGGATCACTTCTCGGCCTTTTGGCTAAGATCAAGGGTAGTATCTGTTCTTATCAGTGTCCAGTAGGGGTTCTCCTCTGTCATTCTTGCCTTTTGGCGAGGATGGCTGGCTATATAGTACCCCTGCTGGTATGATGGGGGCTCAGAAAGTTAGTACTGGCTGGAAGAGAAACCAGGGTGCTCGCAGGCTGTTGAGGCACAGGAGTAATTCCCCCAGGAAAACCAGATGGGCCCAGTTCCTCCTGATTTGAATGGGTCTACCTTTTCTGGCCAGGGGCTGGGGATGCAGAAAGTCCATGGAGCATTACCCCCTGGGAGTGGTCACCCCAGGGGTGCTCTTAGTAACACATGGGGGCTAGGCCTTTTGACTAAGTCAAGGGCAATTGTTTAGCTATAGGCCTCAAGGCCTATCAAGTGCACAACTGCACAGCTACTTCTTTACTTATTTATTTTTTCTCACTGTTTGTCACATTTCACTTATGTGTGTTTTTTTATCACTTGGATAGAATGTGTGGGTCCTCGGGCCTGCCCTGAAGTCTAGGGGGAGGATATGTGGCCCTTAGGTTCCTTCCTCCTCTGTTCCTGGGGGTCTCTCTTCGGGAGAGCTCCCTGACCTAGTGCTCGGTTTTTGCCACAAGGAAAGGTGGACCATATTGGAAACACTTTGTCCCTGTCAGGAGTCTTGCACCGCAGGGGATCAGGGTAGAGGTCCTAAATGGACAATGCACAAAAAAAAAAGAAAATAGGATAACAAGGATTGAACAGCCCAAAGCCTCAGGGCATAAATATACAGCTGTGAATGTGACATTCACCAAACATTTCAAGTTGGTTAATCATTTCCACATGAACCAAGAAGATTCACCTGCAGTGAATATGTGAGATGGGGAAACAGCTCTCATTGTTTGAACACTGTTTGTGTTCAGTAAATTAAATGTTCTGGAGTGACATTCTGCAGTTTAGCCACAAGATGTCACTGTTTTTCTAACACAGCCTCAGACTGCATAGATATTTCTATATTCAATAAGAGGTGGGGTTTTCACACAGAGTTTAGTGAACAGGAAGAGCAGATCGCAGCCATGTTTTGGATGATGCTGAAAGAAGGGGCCGTGTGAGTTGAGAATCCGATGACATCCAGGTGTGAATGCATCCCTCAGTAACCAGAGCTGTGGCTAAGTGAAGCTGATCATGTCCAAGACCCTGATCCTGTTCCGAGAACGGAAGATTGCTGCCAGGAATGCTGATGAGAGCAGAAGAACAACGCAACATGTACTGCGATATCGCATGCTTGTTGGAGAGACATTTGTTCTGTTCAGAGTCACCAGTGGATGCAAAGCAGACCCGGGTCGGTAAGATCGTGCACGCACCTCATTTCAGTGTTGGTGCCTATAAACTGAGACCAGGCCTATAGTTAGTTATTTAGGGTCTCTGTTTGTGTCAGGCCACAAGTGTTGTTACTGATCATTGGAAGGACTCCATAACTTAAAGTGACATTTCACATTGGAGAGCTGATAAAATCCCACAAACTCAAGCCAGACTGGCATTTTGCTCAGAAGGAATACTCAGGCACATGCTACAGGACCAGTTATGGGAGAGGGAATACTGTAGATTTGCGTAAGATTGTAAGCTGTTGTGCTGCATCGGAGGCTAGCCCATACCGTACACCCATACACTGATTCCTGCTCTTTTAGGGTAATAACAGGTAAGATGTGGCAGCTTATTTGTGCCCGCCAGTAGGTAAATTACTTCACTTTCTACCTTCATCCATCAGAAGGCGCCATTCTATGCAGCACAAGGGTCTCAGCCTGTGGACTGGGTGTATGTAAATTTATTGTATGTTTCCAGCATTTGTGGTTGTGTTTATTTGCCACATCTAAATAAAATTCTGTTGTGGCAAAAGCTGGTGTTGAGGTTGCTTTCCTCGTTCGTGACTTCACTGTATCCTGGGGAGCCCACCCCTGTACACGGCTTACAAATATTTGGTGAATGTCACATTCGCTGCTTTAAAAA